TCTATGCAGGATTCCCTCCAGAAACGCAGCGAGCCCAGCACCCAAACCGTCTGAGCAGAGGGGCAAGAGCACTGCCTCTCCCGCCAGCCACACACAGCCCAGGACCAGCCTCGCGTGCCACACGGATCCCGGCTCATCCCTCGCGCTCCACACGGATCCTGGCTCATCCCTGGCTCTCCTGCTTTGTGCCATGCAACTCCACGGCAAATCAGGCCCTTATTTCTCCTGTCCCATCCAAGCAGCCCCCGCCACCAAGCCTTTGCAATGCATGTCGCACTGCAATATACATAAAAACAACAGTAGATGGAACAGCTTCAATAAATTAAAACTCTTTAGGAAGTGACACACTGAGACCAGATGGAGAATTAGGACTTAGGAATTAATATACTTAGCTGAGTCAGAAGTGTTTCATTTCTTTCCTCTCCTTCAATAACTAGCGTAAGGAGAAGAAAATTAGCATGGAGGCAAGAGAAGACACCGAATTGCAGGTTAAGCACCATGGGACCTGGGAGAGATCACAGAGCCAGAGCACCTGAGATGAAGCAGCCATCGCCCATTTGACCCTGGCATCAGCAGTGCCACATGTGCAGCTGCACATCTGGCACCCAGGTGTTCTACCAGATAAGTATAGCTGCTGCTTTCCACACAACTGCTGTGCAGCCAGAACAAGCAGTCCCACAAGGCTCAGCTGATCCTCTCCAACAGGGCGACTGCCAAAGGCAGAGCCACTGCTCGAGCTGGTCTTCCAAAACCATGAGTCACCCGGAGACTCTATACCCCAGTCTAGAGACGGACGAGGGGAAAAGTATTGCTGAAATGGAGGCCTCAGCCAGCTAAGCTGCTCCAAGCTTGGCCTAGGCAAGCAGAGAAGATTCTGAGAGCTCCTTAGGTCCTTCAGCCTTGCTTCTCCCAGGCTGGTATTCTGGATGGGCAACAAGATGCCTCCTTGCCCAAGATGTTTGCAGACACAGCTGTGGCACTAAGGACACGGATGGCAGATCATGTGCAGGATACGAGCTGGGGCCAAGGGCCTCCCGCTCCCTCCCCTTGCCAGCTATCAGCATTTCTGCTGCCGTTATTGCCCCCACATCCCTGACAGCTGGAAACTTGCGAAAGGCCACCACACACCTTCCTCTTACGAGGAAGAAGCTGTATGTGGTTATGTTCACTGGTCACGCCTGCCCCCACACACAGCAGAACGCACTGCGGAGCGCTCAGATCCCTAGAAATGCAGTTCCCCATAGAGGGTATTGAGTTAGTTGTGAGTTCTTGCAGAACGCCAGAGAGCACACACAGAAAAAGCCTTGAGGTTAGCACCATGTTTTCAAGTATTTCAAGAAAACCAGCCTCTCTCATGCCATCATGATGAAAATTCACACTTTCAATATCCTCACCCACAGCAATGTGCTGAATGCTCCCCAGCTGTGATCAAACTTGTCATTATCCTACAATTACCAAAAACCTGTTTTACAAGATGCAAGAGCACAAACTAATTCCCTATAGCACATGCAATTCCAAAAGGACTGACAGATCCTGACCTGGGCATCACACACCACTGCAAACTATCTCAAAAACCAGGTGCTTTGCTTTCCACATGCTTCTGGCAGTGCAGGACTGGCAGAACAGCACGGATACATCCCTCGAGTCCAGGGAATGCTGAAACCAAGAGCAAGGGATGAGGCCAGGACAGGGAAGCTGGAATGGGATCCAATATCAGGGCTCCTGGCACTGCCCTGGAGAGCCTGTAGACTGCCCTGTTTCCCCTCTATCTCAGGGGAGAGGAGACACCCTTCCCTAAAGGGTGGCCCAAGCCGGGGTAGAAGGCGAGCCCTCAGGAAAGGAGTATCTGAAGGACTAAGGGCGATTGCTCCCCAAGCAGGAGACCAAAATCAATCTCTCCTGTACAAAATAAAAGTTCTGGGGACTTACTTGCATAGCTTCCTTTCTGTCTATGCAAGCTAGACCCTTTCACTAATCACACTGTTTATTCTCGCCTGAAAGCGAGTTTTCTGCTCTCTGGCAATTCAATGAGTGATTTTCATGTGTTTTTGCTGTTAAGCAGAACAGAGAAAGCAATAAGTAACTTCAAACGCTGGGAAAACGAGACCAAGTATTTCACTGACTGTACACAGGAACATCTATGATGCTTTAGGTGATTTCCTAACCCCATTAGAGGGCCACACCATCATTTGGTGACACAACATATATCCATCCTCAGCAGCACTGACGCCAGGAGCTAAGACACCAGTGCCTGGGGGTGGTTGTTCTTATGACTATCTACAAGACAAGAGCCCATCTTTCCAAACTTTCCCTAAGGGTGTTCACAGGGTACTGCCTCTCATCGGTACCTTTTATGCAAAATATGACATGATACCTCCCAGCACATCCTAAAACACACCATGTGCCTGGCAGCCACTTGCCCATGCTGAAGTGGTCACACTGCACAGGTCACAAGGATGTTAAATTACTTATTTTTTCTCCCTATGCTCCAATATTTTTTTTCCAGCAAAAGCTAGTGAGGCTAAGGCTATCCGTAAGTTTGGAGTGTTTTAAGAAACCACGGCACGCTGCTTTGCCCTAATATTTACACAGACAGCCCTCCAGCCATCAAGTGCTGTTTACAACTACAGAGTCCCCATCTCCAGACACCCTCCCCAGCATTTACAAGGCCACAGGCTGGTTGACATTGTGGCAGTCGAGAGCCACGGGCTTGACTCGCACCTGTAACCAGCACATTTTCTACCATCACAATAGGAGTGACATTGGACCTGTGCACACAGCAAGCACTGACACAAAGCAGAACAGGTTGTGCTATTTCTGATATCTGATTTTTCTTTCCCCCCCCCCCAACAGTTATTCATTGAGAACAAAAGCAGTATCTGGCTCTGCTGAAACTATTGGCAAGTTAAATGCAAATTCACCAAATATCTGGGTGTGGGAGACAGGAGGCTTTATTACTTCCAGCCTATGAGCCTTTTCTCTTTTAGGTTTAAACACTGGCCAGCAGGCTTAATTTTAAGCTTATTGATCCAAATGCTGGGCAGAATATAGCTTTATAATAAGAATTAATAAGAATGCGCTGTTTACATTCAAGTAATTTTATAAGCACACTCATTGCATCCTATTTTCAGGCCAGGTTGAATCAAGGTGGAGGACAACTCATGGACGAGGACAGACTTAACTAGACAGGAGAAGCAGATGAAAATCGCTTACAAGTATTCAGTATCCTAGCAATCACCAAGGGCATTTCCCTGCCAATTACATGATTTCAGAGGTCGGATGCACAGATTTCTTGGCCAGAGTCTAGATGTGAACTTTATCTGTCAACATACCACGTTGACAGAAAGTCTAAGTAGATTCCTCTCCTTCCGCCTGGAATTCCAAGTGCTCCAAGTGCTGAGTGTGGGTTTGGCTCCACACTAGCTCCTCTTAACATCTGTGAGGCTCTCGTACATTCAATGCTTTGTTACAAAATCAAACTTTACTGCAAAGTTTATGTTGTGCTGAGAGATTTTACTAAGAAAATTAGAGGTCAACAGAGAAATATTCTGAGCAGGCAGCCAACAACCACAACATTCATGGCAAATGAAGGAGCACTGCGAGTTTACAGGGAGCAGCTCAAGTTAAGCTGTGCAGAAAGGACCCTCACCAAGCTGCACCAGGCCTGGTAACTTGGGATCTTTCTGCATTATTAGAGAAACCTACATATAAACTCATGTCTCAGCTTCTCACTTCAGAGACCATAACTTGAAATTCAAAGAAAAAAGTTTAAATGAGTAATGAGAGTCGAAGGAAAGCCTTGCAATCCCTATTGCTACCTACTATAACCTTGGCCCAAGGTTAGATGCTCCTCTCACTTCAGTACTGTTCCTACACTCTGCATCTAAACGTGGCAGAAATCATGAAATCCTCAAAGCTACTATTTGGGGCACACAGTCATTACCAAGCCACATTCACATGTCAGGTATGATCAGTCTCATCTTTAAGCAATAACTTGTGTTTGTAAAGGCACAACACTATTTCTGAATTACAATTCAGAAATGGACCTTCCTTTCTATTGGGACTACAGGCACTGACCACAAGCCAATATGTTCAGCATGTTACACATACACCAACAGAGCAAAAAAGCCAAAGAACCCAGATCCTTGTGTCTAAGGGGATTATTCTCCTCCTGTCTGGAGGAGACAAATCCTTGCTTCAGTCTACATAAGACCATTAGATCTGCTTGCAACCTTCTCACTGACTTCAAGTTCAATGCATGTTAGGTTCTTTGTCAGATGAGGTAGTCTGGTAGCTAGGAAAGGAACCACCTCCCCTCACGAAAAAACACTCACTCATCAGCAAAGATGCCAACTTTTAGAGTAAAGAATTATACTCAGCATGCAGAAGGCCCTCCTTTCTGAATTAAGGAAGTAAGTTCCTGTATCAGATCTAGGTAGTACCTCACAATATAAAAATTAACTCAGAAAACACTACAGTTTCAACACAAATTAAAATGTCCACTTCCGTAGGAAGTAGAACGGTTTGGTATCACGCGCTAGCCTTAAATAAAGAATTGTCCAAAACCATAATGTATACAAAATGCAAAATAAAGTCAAAGAGAGTAGGAAGTAGAACAGCTTGATATCATGTGCTAGCCTTAAGTAAAGCATTGTCCAAAACCATAATGTATTTTTAAAAATACAAAATGCAAAATAAAGTCAAAGAGTATAAAAAGCAAAGTAAAGGCCCTGTCCCTTAAAAGCAACAGTATGACCATTACAAGCACACAGTAGAGAATTTTTGTAAAGACCTTTTATTTGTTTCAAAACTTGTGATCCATAGAAATAACAATAAAATCAACATGTACACAAAAACTTTGGTTCAAGAAATATTTAACATCTAAAACTGAGGTACAAAGGCACAAGACCAGGCACCCAAACACCCCGGTTCTCCCACAGCGCTGTTTGCACCCCTCCTGCTGGAAGCCGCGCGGGCTGAGGTGTTGGTGAGAGATGGCTGGGGATGAACAGGGGCAAAGAGTTAACAGCAACCAAAACACGAGGATGTGTACAATGCCATTTGTTTTCACTCATAGGTGTTACCTATTTTGTTGTCCTTTTTGGATAAAGTGCTAGGACTTTTGGAGAACAAAAGATGGATCATTTCTTAGAAATGAACTGGAAGAACAAACAGTAGAAAAGGCGATGGAAGAAAAAAATGAAGGCCTGTAGAAGGTTGATTTCAATCAACCTCTGTTCTCCCACAAGGTCTTAGAAATTCATTTCCTCTTTCATGAAACCATTTGTTTGAAACTGTGGAACAAGGACAACAAATTAGTTATTGCTGCATACCCAGTCTGTATATATCACCGCCACCTAGACTAAGAGACATGATTAGGAATAACCTGAGGATCCTTGCTTATACTCCCCATCCCATCTAAGAGACATAAGATGATGGGAAGGGATGGGAAGATAGGATCTTTCCACTTGCTCAGTTCCAAACTGCTTTCAACAATCAGAATCTCCCCACTGTCCAAGAAGAGCTGGATGAGGTGTGAAACATCTCTTGTTCACAAAGCATGGGCAAACAAAACAGTTTTATCTGAACAGCTGTTACAGATGATCAATGTAGCAGCTTAGTGTTACATGATACTGGTGCAACTTCAACATTCAGGTTAACTACTGTTATTGTAAGGATTCAGTATATAAGCACCTTTGCATACATGCAAACCTTCAGGTCTTCTTCCTAAAAAGAGTATTACTTACCCCATTTACACCCTACCAGAACTGGACAAGCTGCATGCCTTGTTCTATAGTCACCCTCACCACTTCTGAAAAGATTATACCAAAACACTGCTGTACCCTGAAAAGTGAAGGCAGACCTGAATTAGCCAAAACTTAGTCAACATAATTACTCGAGTTAGGTAAGAGGGGGTCATAGATGCTTATGAATCCAGTAGCAGGTGCCTGAACACAGGTCACATAACAGCTCAAGACAAAATTTAATGTAAACCATGTTCAGACTGAGGAATAGTCTTATCTGAACACAAGTCTTTAACTAGAGGAACTCCATACAGAATTTATTCAGATTGTACACCATAAATCAAAATAAACTCCCTTGCAGTCTACAAAAATCAGATACAGTTGTCTTGATACGTGGCAGTCTAATGACCAACTTGCCAAGGGTGTGTGTGGAACACCCAGATTTTTGCAACATTAGCCAACTTCTTCAGTGTATGCAAGACTGTGTGAGGTTATTGTTAGATGAAACAGTTACAAGGGAGAAAAGTAAGTAGAAAAAGTACAGAAGTCTTACCTTCTTTGGCCATATTGCTGCCCCAAAGTCTGGGAAAACTGTTGCACCTCCAGCTTCTACATCGCTCATCTGAGAAAACAAGGTCAAACTCCGTACATTTACAGGGCATTTTGTGCATGCAGTCTCCAAAGGCAGACTGCCCCGAACCCTAACAGAAATGGATTTTTACCTGCACCTCTAAGAAGCAATTACAAGAAGAGGATGTGCACATCCTCTTACAAAGAATATGAGCTGCAAAGGCAGAACAGAAATGAAGGCTTTTATTTCAACTGAAGACTTCTGTTCAGCATGTCATCTTGTTTATGTATAGTTTATTAGAGAAATAGCCATAAAGTTGTGTACCTGTAGTGTTAACATAACTCCTTAGAACAAGGGAAAGGACTTCAGAGTAAGTCAGTTTTTCATTCCAATTTCTTATAGTTCAATTAGGAAAACATAAATGCCTTAAACCACACATTTCCTTACAAATTAAAACCATGTCTTTGGAAGAGATTCTGATTTAGTTTATGCATCTTGGTCAACCTCAAACACTATACAAACTATTAGGAAACCTCACTTGTCTGCACTGTTTCTATGATGTTCAACAGCATTGTGCTAAATCTCCAGAACTCGATGCCTCTAAAGGAATCCCTCTCTGCTTTACCCCTTGTGCCAGCATAAGGGATTTCACTCATTTACTTTATTATTGATGTATTCACTGTAAGTTCTATAGGCTTGATCCAAAGCCTCCTGAAGTTCCTAGAATTACACTGAAATAAAGAGTCTTACAACTATTTCCATCAGTCAAATTAGGTTCTAATTTTAAAAATATGAATCGAGATCCTACTCCCAACAAATTCAGCAGCAGAACTACTATTAATACACTCTAAATCTTTGTATTTTCTATCTTAATTTGGATTTTTGTTTAAAGTAGATATTATTACTACTTTGGTGTCCTCCTGTTTGGTACCTACAATCAAAGGGCATGAAATGCCACAAGTCAACAGGTTCTTTTTGCTCTTTTCAACTAGAAAGCAAGGGCCTGCAACTTAGCAAGTTAATTCCTGTATCTCAGCCAAAAAAAAAAAAAAAGGATATTCAGACACATGTGATATGCTCTACATGGAGTGTACTAATAGCAAGTTGCCTCTGACCATATACAGCTGGCAGAGAAAGAGGTGCTTATCACTCTCAATTGAGGCTTGTCTCAAAGTCTGATAATCTAAAGAGATTGAGACAGTGTTACAGAGCCTTTTCACAGCAGTCTGCTTTGCTACTGCTTATCTTACGCCAATCCTTGTTTTAGAGTTTTTTCTTCCCCACTCATATGCCGAGAATGACTTTGGATGTTTTGAGTTGTATCACTCAAAGTCAGTTCAGCCAAAATAACATTTCTTCATGAAACTAAGTTAGAAGCCACTTCCACTCAAGAGTTAGACACACCAGAGAGGGGATCCCAATTACCAAGACAAGCATTAGGCTGACAGAGAGCATTGTCAGAACAAAGTTATGTCAACGTGTTAGGCCAGCAGTGCCAGCAGCGCCTGGGTACGATTCCAGGGGATGCGGCCTGAGGCTGACGATGCAGGCGCTAACAGACACCTCCAGGTCTGCCCTCAAACCCATTCCCAGTCACACTGGATTTGGTAGCTCTGCCTTCATTTCCTAGGGTGACAGCTACACCACAGGAATTGGAGCCTTTTGCAAATGGTTAAAACGGAACCTGCCAACAGGTCACAACATCAAGTGCTGTCAAGCCATGGTGGAAGAGTACTGCCCCACAGTAAGTGGGGGTCAGTCAAGACCACAAGCAGTGCAGCATGAGAAGTGCTCCAAGCACTCACCTTTGGGAAAGTAGCCAAATTCTCCTCTCACCAGTGAAAATCCAGTGAGGTAAAAAGTTTCACACACTGCACTTGGGCAAAAGAGCACCAGATCTCTAGTAACTCAAATGCGACAGCACCTGATGCTGCAGGAATAATGAACACCCTACTTCCAGATGCCAGGAAGTCTCTACAAAAAAAACCAACTGCACAAGCTGTAAACAAGATGCTGTAAGAGTCACACTCAATGCATAAAGGATCATCATACTTACATAGTTTAAAAAAGTGGCCACGCGATTTCCAGTCCCTAACCGCTTGAAAGCATCTGGTTCATCTTTCTATAAAATTAAATGAGAAAAACTGCAAACTTCAAGCTCACAGACAGCAGACAGAGAGGTACTTACATAATTAAGAAACGTCGCTAGCCTATTTCCTTCCGATTTGAGTGTGCTGTCAAAGGGTCGCTGTAACAGACAACAACTTTAACCCAAGTTCCAAACAGGCTCACACTAGCGTTACATTTGTGTAGCACTGCAGAAAGACCTTTAAGCTTGATTTAGAGTTGATTCTTAAAAGATGATAATTTATATAGGGCAGCATTAAAGCCATTACAGATTGCAGCCAAACAAGATGCATAAATGCATGCACACTGCATTCGCAGGCTTCAGGAAAAGTAGCCCATGAGCAACTCTTAGCACATCAGAGAAGCAAGGCTCTTTTGGGGTCTGAGGCACAGCTCATATCCAAGGGGTCTTGCAGAGTTAACAGGCTTATTGCACTGAACAATTTGCATTGATGCAAAGAAACCTGAAGTCAATATAAATTCCTACCAACTTCAGCATGCTTTAGATAAAGCTAGAGCCTCATAAATATCCATATAATACTGACTCTCATAATAAATACTCTGCCATGAGAAAATAAATACCTTTTCAAGCAACAGTGATGAATTAGAACAGTAATAATTAACTTTGGTCGCTGCCTGTCTGGGCTTAAGGACAAAGTCAAAAAGATCGAACTGTCTTTACTCCTAAAGCTTTAAGCTCCATATGTTGAAATGCAATAGCAAGTTTGGGGGAAGAGGAAAAGGGAGAAGCATCTGGAATCCCAGTATGCCCCTGTTCCCCTTGGAAGATGCAAGGGAGTTTGTTTACACTGCTAGCAGTAATTAGCTTCAAATGTTTTATTTTTGCAGAGAAACATGAAGTCTCCTCACGTAACCTCAGAGGCCAGAAAAACCAAAGCGAGCAAAACACCACAGCCAGCACCTCTAGAAGAGCTGGAGCTGAATCTGCTTAAAGAGTAAGTTTTAACAAGAGGTTTTCCCCCCAGATGGATTTGCACTTGTATATGCAAGTTCAACCTGAAAAGCCCACTGTAAAAGCATTGAAATAACAGAAATTCCCTGGCCTCCATAACCACTGCAAAACTCAGGTTCAGCCAAACATTTCTGGAATTCAAACCTGAAAGACTTTTCTATAGCTTTGAGCAACCTTATAGCTGAGTTATTAAAGTGTCTATATGGGAACTGCAAGAGAATGTAAAGCTGCAAGGCTGCTCAAGGGAGGGCAAGACACAGCAACACCTCTGCGTTTCAGTACTGGAATCTGCAACACACACAGAGCCTGGAGGACCAGCACAGCCTTGCAGTGAGTCCCATGGCTGCTCGCCTGAGCCATGGCCACGTTCCCAGCACAGCTCGGCCGCAGCTGCCGGCTCCAGGAGGAAAGGCCGGAGTGGCCAACTCCACAGCTGAGCTCTCTGCGTTCAAAGGCTCCGAGGAAAATTTAAGAGCATTTGCTTGACTTGTAATCTGTAAGACTGCCCGGTTTCCCAAGAAACTGCTTTCACCAGGCCAAAGCTAATGACTATGAGGTTCCACAGTATGGAAGTTCAGAGGGTTTTTTTTTCCCTCCCCTCTTAAATCCAGTGTTAAGTACGTTGGCTTACAATCCAACATGCACTCAGAGTTATTGGGTTGTTCTCGGGATCTATCACAAATAGATTATATATTTTAAATTACTAGTTGCCATAGCTCTTCGCTATTATTATTACTGTGTTCATAAAGTGCCTAAGGCAACAAATCAGACCTTGTCCCCATGCTGGCTAGCGAGGTAGAGCCCTCTAGTGCAGATCCAGTACAGACCTCACGCTCTCCCAGGGGCACTGCCTTCCTGCACAGGGAACTGCAAGACCCCTCCTCAGCCCATGGAGCTGCAGCCAGGCCAGGGGTTTCCAGCACAGCTCTGGGATCCAGGGTTGTGGGAGGTGAGGGGGGAGACTCAGCCAGCTGCTGCTAAATCCTGCTGAGTCTCCAGCAAAGTATCTCGTAGCCAAACAAGGGAGGATTCGGACAACGTTGCTGAACGCTGGAGCTTAACGGGACAACTCACTGCCCCAGCACACTTGCAACCCAGGGCTCCCAGACCTCATCTTCCTAATAAAGTAATGAAAAGAACACATTCAGCTGCTGCACTGCATGTCTGTACTGTGCAAGGAACCAGGGGGCAGAAGCTAAGTCTGATTTGTTCATAGTTCTTCAACTTAAAGCGTGAGAAGGTATTATGAAGGCTTTCCAAACATCATCAGCTACCTCAAAACTCGGCTCTCAATTAGTGTTTTAATGAAAATGCATTTCAATTTTTGCCCCAAGCAATCCATTTCCCGCCCCCCAACAAAGTAACAGAAAACGTGATCTTACCCTAGAAAAATCGAAGTGTGGCTCATACTGCCCTCCCATTCCATAATTAGCAACCTACAGCATTGAGGGAAGCAAGCAAAAACAGGCACTGAACTGCAAGTGAGAGCTGTTGCAAAAGACCCACCACACTCCACAAGGAACAGCATTTTGTGACAAGGTTTTCACCCATACCAACCTGTAATAGTTCAGCTGTTTTCACTGTTAAGCCGGTGATCTGCTGCATTCGATTGTTCACCTTGGCAACAACAGGGTCATCATCTTCCTCCAACCAGGAGCTAGGAAAAAGGAAAGAGAGGATGATTTAGATACATAATTTTGGAGTACCAGCCACAACTGCTCATTTTCCCCAAAGAGAAAGATTACTTCTGGACCTCAAACACATGGCTCAGGGAGAAAAAAAAAAAAAAAAAAAAGCAAAGCCATTTATCATGCATTTGTTCTGCAGGCTTTTTGCTACTGGTGAAGTATTTCAGGCCATTAAGCTCTAGGTAGCAGACAAGGGCTGGTTGGTACAAAGAGCTTCCCTGCACTCTTACCTTTTTGACACCCTGTAGCTTGCCACTGTCAGGACACCAGTTTTGGGATCTCGTACTGTGGCTCGTGCCAGCTGTGCCAAACAAAAAACCTCAGTGAGGAAAGACACATGAACTATAGGTTAAAAGAGAATTTTGCCTTAAATTTAGCTTTGATCTTAACCAAAATCAACACCTGATGTTATACAATTTAAACATATTTGCTGGTTGAAAGTCACACTTTCAGTCTAGAGCTGGATTTCATTCTGGAGCAGTGCATGCAGAAACAGATCTGTAATCCAACTCCTGCAGTACACGCTGGGGGAAGTGTGACTGACTGGCTGCATAAAGCACATGATATGCTTCACATCCACAAGTGGACACAGGCTGCTGAACAAGTTCTGAAGGTAATTTCAGACAGCTAAAGTCAATATTAGCAAAAGGGAACCACAACAAAAATTAACAACATGAGAATCCTAATACCTTGGGGAAAAGTTTTTAGATACTTCATAAATTTAACCAGCTTGTGCTTCTTGTGGAAGAAAAATCAACCTCATTCTCAGAGATTGAAGCTACAGGTAACATCTTTTACAGAACAAGTTGGACATCACAGGACATGTCCATCTGTACCAGCAGAAGGCTCCCCAGGACAAGTCTCAACCCCACTGTGATCACATTTTCCATCTGCAAAATGTCTGGATCATCTCATTCACAAAGAGCTCAAGATAGTGTTAGGAAGACGAACCCCACAAAGATGCAGAGTGCGAGTGCCCTGAGTGTCCTGCCAAGCACTCTGGAGTCATCACAGTGCAACCACATGAGTGTTGGTAGCAGAATCCTAGGTCTTGGCAACACGGAGCAGTTTTGCTGCAGCGTTCAAGTGGGACTAACGTGAGCACAGCAGAATAGAGGCCTTCAGGTCTATACTTGCAACTGACAACAAGTAGTCACCTAGTCCTTTCTTTAATTGCACCAACTTGAACCATGTTTAAGTTTGTTTTTGCAAACCACTAACATCAAGTCATGCCTTCTTCTCTCCACTTAATTACAGGTCAAACACAACCTTTTCCCCCCAGCCTCCCCCGTTTGTTTTCTCCACAGTCACTATTTCCTTCACATTTCCTCAGATCAGTCTCCTCTCCAGCCACTTTCACAAGTCCCATCAGCTTCTCATGGTACCAGTCTGGATTGCTGCACTGAGCCTACAGCAGCACACTCAGAGGCAGCCTCCAAGTGTCCTTCCTTGCCCCATCTTTGTTCAGGCACATCTGTATCATGATTAACTGCACAGCTGAAGTGCTGGGTGTTTCCAAGTGTTCATGGTTGAACTGTCCTAATGTGATCCATACCAATAAAACTAGGAATTTTTATTGATCCCTCCAGCTGTTTGTAGATGACACAAGCCAGCATTGATGTATTGCCTGTAAAGTTGGAACTGCTCTTCTGAACTGGAGTAAAAGTGACTGTTTTGCAAAACAAGCATGCAACCCAAGTTGCATACAGCCACTCACAATCACATACAGATGTTATTTTTTCTGCAAAACCAAGATATTGGCAAGTGTAAACTGCAGATAAGGTTGAAGCAGTTAGACCCAAAATTAAGAGATTCTTGCAAATACATTTTAAAACAAGGAAAGTTCCCAGTCACATGTGCAAGAACTCCCCTGACACTAGTGAGGGTCATCAATGCTCACAGTGAGCAAGGTATTCTTGAATAAAATTTTGAACACAGAGCAAGTCAGAGTTGTTAAATATCTTTGTGTGCTCCACTTGATAAATGAGATGAAGTGACATGATCCATTTGGATGTTTCCATTTTATCTGAAGCTCTTGAAGTTCCAGAAATAATTTTACTGCATGATGTAATAGGAAAAAAATATAGTTTATGGAAGCGAAGAGCGTCCTGCGAGCACTCCTCATAGCTGATCCCCACGGAAGGCCAGCTTCATAAACACAGCAAACGAAAACTTCCTTAGAAATGGATTGAGAAACTCACACTTACGAAGATGAAATTTATGATCACATTAAGAAATACTCTTCTGCATGTTATTTGTGGCCTGGACTTCTAGTACCATTACTTGTACCAGTAGCAGAGCCATTCATATTGAATGCTACTGCGGCATTCAAAACTACATATATGCTTTTAACTTCGATTTCTATCAAATCTGACAAGAACAAATGAGCAAGGCAGAGTGTTAGTATTGCCCCTGAACTTCCATGATTTTTTGTGCTAATAAGGAACGGCAACACAGTTAAGATCTCTATCCTCTCTAAGGAAGAGGTTAAAAAAATAAAATATTCAACGCACCAAGCAGCTATGGGGGGAAAAAAAAAAAAAAAAAAATCTTTAACTACCCCGTTAGCAAGGTGCTTTCTTGTGTACAAAGCCACTATATTGGTAGGATGCCATAAGCAAGAACTACCAAGCTCTAGATATTCTTCTACAGGCCAAAAACATGGTTGCCCCACAACTCTGTTGGAATTTGAGAACTTTAAAACAAAATCGAAAGACAAGTTTGCCTTTTAAAAGGAAACTGAAGATATTTAGACAGCTGTAGGCCCATCAGTCATCTACCCACCCTTGTCAGGTCTAGTCTCCTAAAAGCTTCTTGAACCATACACTGCACCCTGCACATAAGGAGGGCAGCAGCACACAGGTATCTCCAGGAGTCCTGTGCTTTATGGCTGTACACCAAACAGTTTCAAAATCCTTCCTTTGGGCTCACAGCTGCAGGGCATCATCTCTAGGATGAAACCAAATCTCTGAAATCCTTTGTCTATCTTTGCTAACAGAAACTAAAGCCCTGAACTAGCAACCAATATTGAGGTGGAAAAGCAGAAACTTACCCTTGGTTTAGCTAGTTCTTTGATTTTCTCTATTTCTTCATCAGACATGACATCATAGTATCGTACAATATGAGGGTTGTCCCATTCATCCTCTTCCTTAAAGGGGGCTATTACCAGATGAGGGTTTCTGTTTCCATCATGGTACCTACAAAACAGTCTTTTCTGTCTTCGAGGTGTCTGAAATGGAAAATGCCAAGCAAGACGCATGGTTTGTTCAGCCACTTTCCATGACCAGGCAAGAAGCCTTATACCACAGTACAAGTATACAGGGAAAAAACATGTCAGCTCACTAGCAAATTTAAGAGTTAAGCATGAGATCAATTCATCTATTCTCAGTGAAGAGAAGCAGCATATTACTCCCTAAAGATACCGCTGAGCAAGGCCTGACCCCTAACCTCTAGGAGAGTGGAATCATAATAGCTTATGAATTAGAGAAACTAAGCAACTACATAAAGTCACCAGCTGCAAAAATTATGAATCTTTTAATTAAGACTATGCAGATGGAACAAACATCAATTCCTCTCCCCACCCTAGGAATTGAAACCATAATTGAAGAGAGGTGCTAGAGACTGATGAAAACAGCTACTCCGAGGGATGTCTTTAAGATGTGATGGGAAAGAAATAATGAGAATCTGTAGGAGCAGCAAAGCAAAGCAAATTCTCAGAGGAAAAAGCCCCTAATATATTCATACATCAGCATTTAAAGTGGTTGAATAGACAGAGTCAGGGGAATTAATTTTCAGCAGCCTTTAAGAACATTGAGAGCTATTTTTCTGTTTAGGATTAACAGCTAAAGATACAGAGGCCAAGATATAAGCAGGTACAAGTCCAAGCACGGAAAGAACTACACTTAATTTTTTTCCTCCAAAGAAAATAGCCAACTCTACAGAAGGAAAAAACTTAACATGCTTTAGCAAGCTGGATCACCCCCGCGCAGCAGCAGGCAGACAGTCTTCCCTTCCCTTACCATTTTCACCCCCTCGCCTCTGCAGAGGGCCTCATAGATGTCACGCTCTGGCAGGTAGTCGAGAGGCCTCTCGTAGGCCCCTCCTTGCACTGCAGGTTCTGTTGTGGTCGTTGTCTTATTTAGCAACTTCTCTTCTCTCTCCTTCTCCAGCAATTTTTCAAAGTAACGGAGATTACTGCCTGCTCTCTCATGAGTACTGTCTTGGTTAGGAGGGAAAAAAGGAAACGAAAATAACAGAACTTGTGACTTACCAGTTCCAGAGACTGTCTAAGTCTTTATCAAGACGCTATGATAATTCTCTCCTTTCCAATACATCATGGGACAGCCAAAAACACCAGCTGTAGTCTACACAAAACCAGCACTGGGCAAGTTTCTGCCCTTTCTTTGCAAAAAGCAGCTAGGTATAATCCTGTAAAAGGACTTTCTAAATGCAATTATGACAAAATCTGACTTTCAGGTAGGAAGTGGAAAAGGAATTTTGGATCTTCACATCTCTCCCTTTCCCCAAGTCTTGTCTGTCCAATTCTATAACTGGACAATAAGTAGTCAGTACAGCCTGTACAGAGACAGCTCTGTTTCACCACCACCACCACCTCTGTCCTCCCCATTCCCACAGTGCTTCTCACCCACAACACCCAAGCACTGGCATCCCAGCCAGACCCCAATCCCAAAGACTTCCTCCAAAGCTTGAAAGCTCAGAAATAAGTGCTACCATTAGCATCTTAGAGCTAACATCCCTTTCTACAGGTTTTTAAGAAGTTTATAAAAGAGGTACCAGAGAGCTGTCACTAGTGATTTACTTCTGCTTTAGTGGAAGAGCAGATCTTTTGTTCTTACCAAGAGATATGAGACGCCTGGTGAGCTCTGTGGCTCTGTGCAGATCCCCAAACTGGAAAACTGCATAGCTGAGATAATCTAGGATCTCCACTTTGGTGACTGTCGTATCCTCCCCTTCATCATGCTGTTTTAAGGCTTGTTCCATCCAGAGCACTGTATGATAGTAGTCTCCATCGTTGTAAGCAGTCCTGCCCATGCCAAAGCAGTCTCCCACCGTCAGAGAGGCTCTATATTTCGTTCCTGAAAACAAAGTTAAGCAATCCACACAAACTTTCTTCACTTCAAATACTAAGAGAGAGAGACTTCAAATTTCTAAGAGCCAGCACAGCAATGCTTTGGGAAGCGTAATTTTTCCCTTATGGATTACAAGTTCTCTGGGACACAAAGTACCCATTTCACTTGCTTATGCTGTAATTGTCACAGTGAAGCCTACAACAGCCAGCACAAAGCTTTTGTCTTTGTTAACATTCAATGAAATAAGCATATTCTTTTTAGAGTAATAATCATTTTTAAAATGCTACCTGAACATGCCACTGCATATATACCTGCTATGCCAATGCAGGTCATGCATGCCTGAGCATGGCAGAAGCAACCTTGAGGTTATTAAATATTCAAGATAGATACATCCAAGTGTCTAAATCTCACAGATTTTTGATCGATGGTTCTTGGATGCTTCATCACTGCTGAGAGGGGACTTTGAAGGTGCACAGTTAAAAGTCTCAGAGGTACCAGGGTGTTGCCGACTCCTTTTCTGAAGGGCAGAGGGGACCCTTGTGCAATTACCTGGTAAGTTACCTCGAGAGAGTGTCTCCGGATCCAGTTTGTACGTGTCTTGTAGGCGCATCAGAGCCTTGGCAGCTCCAGTCTCATCTTCCTCAGTTGGAAAAAACTGACGCTGAATTGTGAGATTTGTAATAAAGCCTTGCACGTGAGGAGGAACATCTGCTTTGTTTTTGGAATTCTATAAGAATCAATCTAGGTTTAAATATAGAGCCTCACACCAGACTCTTTAGTTATATAAACATTGCTTTCTGACCCATTTTAAAGAATTACAGCCCAAACAAAAGAAAGACAAGAGAAAACTGAAAGCTTTTCCGTGCTGCACAGTTAGTGAAGTATAATGCAAACCTAGTGACTTTCAGTTTTCTGTAAAGTTTCTTTCCCACATGAAAACTTAATTTCCCCTCAATTCTCCTTTTGCAATATCCCAAGATAAGTGCAGATCATGGCATTCCACAATGACTTTTACTCTTCTCTCCACCAACCTGCTAAGCCGTAAGAGCCAAGATCCAAGTCTCAGCTCAGGGGACAGAGACCTGATTCAAGATCTCCTATGTATGATTTTAAAGGGCTTGTTATCTGGTAAGCAGCTTTTAAAGCTAGTGACTAAAATAACAGGTCATAAAGAAATAAAACTAAGTGCACTAGGTAAATATATCAAGATTCTATAGTGGGCTGAAGGGAGGAAGCATCTGTTTCCAGCCACATGGCAAGCAGACCTCTCAAAGCAAATTTTTAGAAAAAAATACAGTTACTCCATAAAATAGTCCATTTTCTCTTCACCTAGGATGATTATTCCAAAATACCAAGAATCTTGGCTGGGAAAAACCTTGAAACCATGCAGGGTTTTCTGCATGAAATATTTCCTTCCCTCCCCCCTTACTTTCATAGGGGCCAGTAAAAATAGATGTGCACCAAAAATAAGCTTAAGGAAGCAGGATTCAGACATACAGACTGGAAATGTTTGTCTTAAAGACAAGTTTATAGATAACAAGATAATGTAGCAATTGTATTAATACATACACTACAGCATCTGTCAACTGCTAATGTCAGAGCTGACGGGAGCTCCTTAACCAACACAGTGCAGGTCTGATTAAGGTGGTCAAAAATGGTGAGAAAAAAACAGTTTGTAAAAGTAGATTGATAAACCTTAATTAAAGAAATATGAAACTCAAGACAAAGCATGAAACACTAGGTGCCAACACAACTGAAAATTCTGGAATATCCTTTTCTCCCCTTCAAAGTGGCAAAAGCCAAACAGTGTTCTCAATCAGACATGCTACAACTTCTTTGAGTCTGGACCCAGAAGCACCTGAGTGTCAGCTCAGAGGTACCCAGCAAACAACAGACCAGACACTGGTTTAAGTCTCAAAGGGCCTTGGCAGCAGCATTTAAGCCACGAGTGAGTTTGCAGCTTTCCAGAATACAACGAGGGGAACTAAGTGGGGTGTCATGAGGCTACCTCCTACCAACATGTTCTTCCCTGAAGCTCCTTACCATTTGTTGTGTCCTGAAGAACTAGGTTTTCTAATTCCAGCCAATCAGTATTTAAACGCTTCACCAGTTTATATGCATTTACAGGATGTGCCAGATATCCTTCTGGATCAGAGGTTGATTTGCTAGTCAGTACATCCATTTTTTCAGCCCAGCTGGAAAAAGAAGCATATGCCTCAGTCTGAGACCAATTTATGAATGCATATCTTCCTTATTAAGTCATCCTAATTACATCACTAGAACCAATTTATTGCTCCTTTTGCCATTATAACCAGCTGTTGAGCTTTCAACTTCACAAGCATAAAGTGAAGTATAACTGATTTTTTAATCACAACTTTAATTTATTTCCCTGTCTATTTCTAAAAGACCTACTACAGCAGAAATACATCCCACTTGCAGTGAGTCTTAGTCACCAGTTTTCAGCATATTGCAGTTTGGAAAATAAAGACAATGATATAGAGTACACAGTTATCGTGAGTGTCATTTATTCATCTCAAAGCAGCAATACAAACCTACATGCAACCCAGTCACTTGTTAGCTTTATGGAAACCTAACCCGGAACTTTGATATCTTTTTAGACTGAAGAACATTCAATGGCCATAGAACAGCAGCAGCAGTGCTCTCCATGGACAAGAACATGCTGCTGTTCAGCTTCAAACTGGTACTAGGCAACGTCATGCTCCACATTATAGGATATCTGAACTGCTGCTTATGCTACTAATGTTACAGTGACCATTTCTTCTGCTCCCCTCCGTACTATCCCTTACCAGAAAGGGTCTTCTGCACATAATGCTTGTGATGAAACAAGGACAAGGAGAAATGTGGAAAAAGCCCAGCAAGTGACAATTACTAGAGGAACAGATAATTTGAAAAGTGTATTTCTGAAGCAGAGACCCTTCTCTGCAGTTCTATGGGAAGAAATGGGTAACAACCACAGTGTTGTTACCTTTTGTGGTTCTCTATGAGGAAACATTAACCAGATCCCGTGATAGAGATGGCAACAAGGTGTAAATTAGCATAACGGGTTACTCATTTTGCTAGACATCTTGGTTAATGCAATCCTCTCTCCCTACCTTTTAATCTGAGAGAGCTTGGATTCTTCTGATCGGATATATTCCTTTAAGGACCGCACCAAGTCTTTCTCTGCATAAATCAGGTCTGTCATTTGACCTAAAAAAGGGAAAAAGAAAGGTGAATCAGAAATAAAGCCAAACAAACATCACTTTACAACAGCGCAGAAGACCAGTCTCAGGTGCTTTAAGGCTATTAAAGCCACCTCAAAGAACAGAGAAATGAAGAGGGAGAGGAAAGGGTGTTTTTTAAATGTTTGTAAGCCACAAAAGCTATTAAATATGCTCATCTGGCATTCAAATGTTTCAAGTGGCCTTTAAAACCTCAACTTTAATGACCTAGGAAGTAGTCTGCTGTGATCCTTTTATCTCCAAATTACTTTTAATATTGCAGTTACATAAAACACAGTCAGTGGAAAGGTCTGCCAGTAATACAGCAAGAATCAAAGCAATGGAAGACCCAAGCAGTTGCCATAGTAGCTGTTCTCCGTGTCGATACAGATTAGGTCACACCAGCAATTTATTAGTCTAACCACTGGCATCACTTAAAATTACAGCTTTTCAATATGGGTAACTGTGGAAACAGTCTAACATTAAAGTACAGAGGCATTTCAGACTAACATTTATAGACTAGCCTGTAAAAAATCTCTTCCAATTAGTGGAAACTGCTAGCATATCATTCCAGATTGCTATAAGAAACTTTTGCTTTTCACAGACCAAACACTGAATGATCCAAAGAGATTTAGGAACACAGTAAAAACACTTTGGAACGCTGAAAATAAATAATTATTAAGGAGGCACAATGAAGCAGACAGAAATCAGCAGGCAGTTCTACTTTTGGTCTATGCCCTAAGGTAGATTTCAGGAATTGGTAAATGTAAAACAAAGACGACTGCTGTTCATGGCATCTGTGTACAAAACCCCCCTCTAACTCATAGGAGAGACAATCAAATAGCACAAGTCCAGCTAAGTGCCACGGCCAACCCAGAGGGAGGGCAGCGCATGCCGGGGCTGTAGCAACCAGCGTTCTTTGTCCTGACCGAGGCCAGGGAAGCAGATACACAAAGGTGCCTTTCCATGGAGACAGGTACAAAACACCACCAGAATTTTGAGTTTTGATGTTGCAAACACACAGCTCCACTAGCTCTGGAGAGCAGGCAGAGGTAGCAAGTGAATCTGTATTATCCTTATGGGGGCACTCACACAAGATCTGAAGTCACAGCAGAATTCAGTTAGCCTTTATATTTAATACTGTACCATAGTCACAAAGGATGGCATTATTTTAGTTCTTGTGTTCCAACAGCTATATCAAATTAATTTACAGGACTTAAGATATTTCTATGCAAATCTCTGGGATTTATGGAAGTCTTATACAACACCCACCGGGTAAAGAGGATATTAATTTTCTATTTCCATTCCTGACCCTATCTTTACTTGAGAATAAGGGATTACAGCTTCTGTGGAGGGAAGAGGAGGGGGGAAAAAGGAGAAGAAAAAAAAAAAAGAAAAAAGAAAAAAAAGCTCTTCAAATTTTTAATCACTATGTTTTCTCCAAGAACCAGCAGTTTTGGATTCTGATTTTAATAAACTTTGCACAGAATCTCTCTGCTGTGCTCAAGATGAAAATCAGGTGCACAATTCTTGATAAAAAATAAATCAGAAATCAAGAGTCTTATTTTATGCACAGACTAGTCCACTCAGATTTGTATCATGTTGGTCATAACAGGCCAAGTTACAGAATGGCAAAAATATTCCACCAATGCAGGATCTGAGCTATCATTCACAGGCCTGAACAGGTCAAAGAGCTGGGCAGGGAGGAACCTCCCACAGTGCCAAGGCAAGTGCAGGGTCCTGTATGCAGGGAGGAATAACCCAAGGCAGCAGGACAGGCTGGGGGCAGCCTGCTGGAGAGCAGCTCTGTGGAGGAAGAGCTGGGGATCCTGGTTGACATGTCCACCAGGAGACAGCAATGTGGCCTTGTGAAGAGCAGCTCTTCCTGGCAGGGACAGTATTTCACAGGGCTGCTTGAACAGAGTCGTGTGCTTCAACTGCCAGCTTAAGAGTGTTAGCAACTATATTAGCTACATCAGCACAAAACTGTGCATTACCTATCGAGGTGAAAAACTCGGCTTCGGTTTGCCCCAACAAGCAAACACAGGTCAAGAGCACCAGCTGCAGCCAGGGCTTCATTTTCCACATGGTTCTCACCTGTAATTAAAAGGAAGAGGTGGCATGAACAGAATCTGTGTGGCAAGGGGAGAACTACACACACACACACACACCCCCCAGGCTTTTTCAAGCACACAGCACGATAGGAGCTCTGTAGACGGTCACAGTTCCTAGATGCCATGAAAATAAATAGCAAACACACTGTCAATAACACCATTAATAATAAGAGCAACAAATAGCTCTATTTTTCCCACTACATTGCATTGTGAAGTAAACTTTCAACTATTCATTTTGCTTGCTTTAAAAGTCTTCGTTAGAGATCAGAAACCTCCTGCAACAGTATACAAGCACAAATAAGCAAGAAAACATCCCGTAGCATCACGATGCCTTCCCTTCCCCCTTCTACTTCTCCCCTTCCAACCATGTATTCCCAAACTGCTCATTTAAGTTAGTTCAAAGCTGTACAAGGGTAACCTGAGAACTGAGTCAGGCTGAATGAGCAGTACCACGCAGAGGTCTGCCAGCACCGAAAGCCACAGTTAAGCGATATAGCAGAAGGCACGGCGAGGCAGGAGAGTTCAAGGAGCGCACAGACTTGAGGATATTATGCCAGCACTGTCCATCTGCATAGTCTGTTCTTGTTTCGTGAAACAGTATTTTGGATGCACTATGCAGAGCTGGAGCGCACAGACTGTAGGATATTATGCCAGCACTGTCCATCTGCATAGTCTGTTCTTGTTTCGTGAAACAGTATTTTGGATGCACTATGCAGAGCTTGGCAGAGTAACTACAAGGGAACTTTCCAGTTCAAACACCACGATGCTACATTCTCCTAGCACCTCCCCACCATATTCTCTCACGGCTCAGGATATCTGCCAAGCAGAACATTTACTACAGCTAGCAGCTTGTCTTTACAGCAGATCTTTAACAGCTTTGCCATCCTACTCAGATTTACTGGAGTCAATAAACAGAACTCTCAGTAAACAGGGAAATCAGCTCTTTCTTGAAGAAGCAGGACACCTGGCTGCAGGGTTTTCAGATTGTTTATACACATTCTTTTCACAGCTGTTACTTGGAGAAAAACAGCATGAAAAATGAATTACAAGAGAGTGAGCACAATGTTGTAACCACATTTCTGGACAGCATAAGTATGTGTGAGCACACGTGTGCATGCCCAACCCGATACAGATAAACCATCTGCTAAAAACAAGCAGAAGAGGCAGAAGGGACATTAGCACCTCCTGCCTCAATGTCTGAGATTAAAACAAATGATTATAAACCCAACACATTTTATTCAGAGAATAAAATAACTTACTGGTATAGAAATGCTTAAGCCCCACAAAAAATTAATCTACACAGGAAAAGAAGCCAGGAGGGTGAGCAGTATTTAACAGAATCCTGACAAGGTGAACACTTCACACTGAACACACAAAATTAGGATTTCCTTTCACTCAGGTTAGGATAACTGCCTTCCTCTGCAAGAGAGCTGGAGGAAACTGAGTCCCTGAGGCTCAGTTTCAGCCTCAGGCTTATTAAAAACACTCACACACCCATCTCCATGAAAGAATCAGGAGAGGCCAGTGCATCCACTGCTCTACACTACAGCTAGAAGATGCCCCAGGACACCAGCTACACTCCCTCGCCTGTCCAGCTATGGTCAGGGTGTCCATGCAGCAGGGATCAGCCCAGCACGTTTCTCAGCAGCACTTTTCCCTCTGCCTTACCCGTGCTACTCTCCTCACAGAGAGGAACCTGTGCTCAGCTCTGCTGCACACCCAGCAGACAGATTGGTTTGCTCCTTTTCTTCCTCTGGATGCCCCCAGCTAAGATGCTGAGCAAACACATTTTGTACAAACACTGCAGTTCAGGAGTGAGACACCTCCATGGATCACTGCTCCCACTGGGAAGACGGCCGTCAGCCTGCCCAGAGCACTGGCAGGAGGAACGGGACTCAAAGGGGACAAGCATGGAATTTTCTTCAAAAGTACAAGACTGAATTCTTTATTTAGGAAGCCTTCCACAACTCTTGTTCCGTAAGATTAAAGCATGGATCTGACCTAGAAATAAAGTTACTTACATATCTAAGAGGTATATTGGCTTCCCCCCATGTCACAGTTAAAATCCATTCACAAGATTCAAGCGAGATTCCATGAGAGCCAAAAGCGGGAAAATGTTTCCCCAAAAGGGAAACGCTTCTACAGGTCAGAGGAGACTTCTCTGTTGCTCATCCTGCCTCTTCTGACCAAGGGAATGGGCAGTCTCATTCTTCTGTAGACCACCAGAGCGAGAGCGCAAATCCACCTGCAGTACTTCCCCCCCATCCCTTGGGAGCACTGGAGACATTTGGCTGGATTCCACAACAAGCCAAAGCTAGAGGCACTGAAGAACACAGATCCCTTCTTCACCCCACAAGAGGCTCCTGGCAAGTTTCAGATAGGTAATACAACAGTGCTTTCATTACAAGGGGATTTGTAAGGGAACAACACTACAAAGGGAACCTGAACAGGCAGTGGCAGCCCCATAACCACGTTTTGCTACAAAGTTTGTGAAAGAAAATACCTTGCTGACAAAATACTGCCAAAAATCTGATGAACATTATTTGAACTACACAGTGAATCAGCACTGCTTAACTACTTTCAAGCTGATGACACAAATAAGGGATACAGTTTGGCTCTCCTTCTGTGATTACCAATGCTCAAAAATCCACCTAGAAAACCACAGTTGAAACAGCTATTTAAAGCATTACAAAATAATCCAACAAACAGATCCCTGTTTCAAAGTTACCGCTGTGCAGAGACTGGCTCTCAGGGCACCGGGAGCTGGGGTTCACATGCCAAGCTCTGAAGAGCCTTATACAAATAGCAGTTTGAGGCTGGACTCCGGTATGAGCCAAGTCTGTAAAGAGTTTCTCCAAACGCCAGCGCTTTTACCCACAGCCCCGCTCTTTGCGGAGCAGCAAGGAGCACTGACCTGACTGCATGACTGACTTCATCCCCTTTCCAGGGTCCTCTAAGGAATTGCTTCCTCTCAGCATTAGGTGCCCCAGTCAAGTTTGCCCTTATGCTGTTTTTCTACTCCTTCCTTCAGGACGCTTCATATTTATAGCTTAGAGCAACATATACCTACATCACTATCCTTCTTGCCAAAGCACTTGATGCGTGTCTGAAAAGAATTATAATTGCCTAATAACTAATAAAACATGTTTGTAATTTTCAAGGTAGATCAAAAGACAAGCTGTTTGTATGCACGTATTAACAAGGAAGCAGAATTTGCAGTAAAATCTCTACTTGGTCCCTCTGATGCAAAATGGATCTTGTTCTCCTTAGCCATACAGCCTCAGAAACTATAAGCATCTGGATTAGTTCTCAACAGTTTTTCTAAAAGCATAGCCAAAGAAAACACACACCCTAACTTTGGCACTGTGACAGAAAATTCAGGCGAGTCTAAGGCACAATAAATCTCCCTGCATCTTACCCTGCAGCATCAGTAAACTCATCCCGTATGAATCAATCTAGTGTAAATTCCACCCTATTAGGGAAAACAGGCCAGAAAGATTGCATATTTGGTCATTTTTTACTGGAGATTGTTCTTCAATATTGAAATTTTGGCCAAGTTTTACTGCACAGAGCCTAGAATTTTAAGCATATCAAGAGCTTCAGATAAGCTTCCATATGCTCATGTAGCATTAAAAACAGTCTCGAAAAACAAGTTTTACATAAAAACAGGTTTACTGTCAAAGAACAACCTTCCACTGCCATCAGTGATTGAGTTAAATTTCAGATACCATCTCAAAGGTTTGGAGGCTGAATCTATTCTAAGATCACCCTAGAATGTGTCTCCAAGCATGCCTTACATTCTCAAGTATATAGAAAGCTATATACAAAAGAAAAAAAAAAGAGCTAGTCATAGGGAAAATATCCATCTACATGTTTATAGCTTGCTTGCTACCTTGGAAGCTTGCCAATATAACAGCATGGAAATAATAAACAGGCTGAATTCCTGACTTAAACCTAGAATGAAAAACTCCTTACATTAAAGGGTAAATCCTGCTCCCTCTGCTGTTCCTGCCTTTGAAATAAACCATCGCACTTTGGGCTTGTACGTACCGCAATGAAGAGCTTAAAAATAATAAAAGTATAGAAGCAAAAAGTAGAATTCTCATCTGTTTCTGTCAGAGCAACATCAGTTTACATCTGTCTAGTTAAACTCCAGCCTATGGGGGTAGCAGTTACGGTTGCTATTTCCTCACAGCTTACCTGAGGAATCCTCCTAGGTGCTTCGTATCAGAAGGCCACAGAATTAACCTGCTGAAGATGGCTGGGGTGTCCTTTCAGCTCTGCTTTGCCCTTACAAAGCACCTGTGAAAAAGCAGCAAGAAGTTTTAGGCAAAATACCTTCTGGGAAGAGCCTGCCTTGAATACATGCACAATTACTGGCTACGAATACTAAATACCACAGAGCCAAGCAGCTCACAGTCTTTCCTCCACAATAAGGACCTTTTCTGCTGTTTAAAGCAAAGTTTTTCCCGTCTCATGGCCTCCAAGGCATGTTTTGCATTAGTACAGCACACTCTCGTCCCCCAGTTGAGCTACGGTGACCTCCTCAGGGATGTTTTTAGGTCGCACACTGCCCCACTTGGGCTGCATTTGCACAAGCCTTTACGAAAAGAGCTCAAGTCTCCGCATGGTGCCACGCGTTCACACTCGGGTCCTGCCTTACGCCCATAGACCGCCCAAGGGGCAGGAGCTCCATCACGCATTGCTGTGTTACACAGCGGGGAAAGAGAGGCAAAAACGTTTCAATATTTCTTGGGAGGAAAAGGGGAAAAGGTGTGGCGGGGTTAAAACAAGATGCTGGGTTAGGGTGAGGGAAGGTTTACCTACACTGAAACATTCAAGTGAAACTAGGAGTTATTTAAAATAAAGTCTGTTTTT